TTGTTTTAAATTTTTAATGATCATTTATGCTAATTATTATTTAATGTATCATATATCTATTCGAGATACCACTTGTAACTTTATATGTAACTAAAATAATATTCGTTATCGGTTATTTATCAGAAAAATTTGTTATCAAACGATTATGATCTATTGACATTAAACGCGTGGTATACTTGAAAAGCTTTATATTATGAAGTGGCTATTATATCAGATAAAAATCATTTAAGTATTGCTATTACTGTCAAAAATCCCAAGCAGTTATAAAATCTAGGGAAATTAATTATTAAATATAATTAATTGGAGAAAAAATTGGAAACCAGAATTTTATTATATATATTATATATATTAAAAAAGAATTTATTAATCAAATTTTTCTGCTTCAGCAAATATTTATACTTATGTATATTGTAGTTACGTATGATATTGGCCACGATCGCTAACGGGTATATGTAACCTCTTCGCTGAAGTAAAAGGAAGAGAAGCAAAGAGAAACAAAGAAGAAAAAAGGAATGCGGTCGCTACGGTCTTTGCTGCCACTGCTGTCGCTATTGCCACTGTCGCCTTGTTACTTATCATTAGACTCAATACTAATTAAAAGAAACAATCAGAAAAAAAAAGAAGATTAGCTTCTGAAATCCTAATAATGGCTATGAATATATTATTCGCTATTTAACAATTGAGGATATTAAAGTGAAATGAAGAAAGTATAAACATGCTATCTTCTGCTTCCAAGGAAGTCACGTTCCTCAGCAGCTTTCTTTCAGCTAACAATACATGTATCTTTTCCGTAGGTAGTCATTTATAAGCAACAGTTACTCAGTGGATATTTTTTCATTTTTGACTTATACAACACATTTAAGGTCAAATGCCAACCAACAAACTATCATACTGTATGTTTACCATTTCATGTTGATCATACACGAAATTATATATATATATTCCGTTTAATCACTGTCATTACTAAATATATCGAATTTCGACAAAATATTTTCATGTAAAGAAAATATCATGAAATTATCAAAGTATAATTATTGATTTTACGAATTATATTATAATAAAAAACTAACTAAAATTAACGCTATTTGATTGTATGAACATGATTATTGATACCTTCAAAAATATATAAATGTCATATTTTAATTTTGAAATATTAAATATATGTCGAAATATTCAAGAAGTAAATATATATATCATATATTACATATACAAGCGAAAAAAAAGAATTGATGAAAAAGAATGAAAATAATATAGGTACACATATATATATATCTTTTTATATTATATGTATATATATAATATATATGTATATATATTTTATATATTATATGTATATATATAATAATTCATGCATTAAAAAGTCGAAATTGAACATATACAATCAAAATTTATCTATTCAAATAGTTAATAATTCGATAATTTACTCAACGAATTTTCAATTTTGATTTCCTTAAAAATTAATTTTTAAAAAAGAAAATTTTATTCTATTTTTCTATTTTCTATTTTTTGTTTATTTTTATATGTATAAATAATTTCTAACAATAATTCATTCATATTTCCAATTGAAAATTAACGAAATTTATTTGTATTTGAAAACTTTTTAAATTTTGTTCTTATTTTTATTTCATTTTTACATAAAATCATCTATTATCTGTTTATATCATATCTGAGGCATCCTTGATGCACGCGTGTTTTCAAAAAAAAAAAAAAAGGAAAGAATATGTCAAATATTATTATATAATAATAAATTAATTAATTAATTCATCTTTAATAAACTTTTTGATACATATACGACATAGGCATAAGAAATATATTATTTATATTTTATATATCTCCTTATAGTAGATTAATGATTGCGCTTTAATCTTTTGAATACTTGTAAACAGGTCAGGTCAAGTGCAAGAAATTTCAGAGCAGAAAGAAAGTTACTAATGAATGACGAAATGAACATACAAAAATCAAAATATTGGCAACTCTTAAAAGTTCATTTATCAACAAATTTCAAAAAAAGATTTCAATTTATTTTTAAATTTAATTTAATTAACTGCTAATTACTTAAAAAATTTAATGTCTATACAGAGGGATCAATTAAAAATACAATAAAATAAAATAGTAATAATATTTTTTTTTTTAATCGCTTTAAAATCTTAGAAATAGATAAAAAAAAAATAAAATAAATTGTCTTCATTGTACTATACTCTTTGTATCAAAAAATATATTTTAATATAATATAGATAGACATGTTCAATATAAATGTTATTAGCAACATGCATATAAATGTTCGATTTATTTGAAGCATGAATTGCTCAGTGATGTGCAATACGACACAATCAATTTATTATATTTTGGAACACATATGATCTCATACGTTTCCATTTGAAATGATTAAGCACAACGACCTAATAGCAGAAGAAAACTAGACCTCGTGTCTGTCCAAGTTTTCGCTAGACAGTTTCGAAAGGACGCGCTTGACAACGAGTTCTATTCACGCCACTAGGTCACCGAGAAAACTTGCTACGTCGTGTTCGAAATAGATCTCGCGGACATGATTGCAATACGGTTCAGCCATCATGAACTATGCACTACGATGAATAACATTGTATACAAATTCCAGGTTCGTGTCATAATGTAGTATATTCAATGTTTATTCTTTCATGTTTTCTACTAATTTTTTTTTATTATATTTCATATTATATTTTTTTTGTTTTATTAATCAAATTAATTTAATTTATATTTAATAAAATACTTTCTATACGTTACAATCTTTAAATTTATATTAAGAGAAAGAAGATTACTATATAACTGAAAACAATCGGATTTGTGTTTTTGAGTTTTTGAAACCTCGGATACTGTGACACTATATACATATGTCAAAACTATATATCATCAGATTTCTTAACCTATGCTCCATTATTAATAAAACTTGAAATTGACAAATGATAAATGAAATATACAATCATATGTTTTTTTCGAATAAATTCAATTTTTGCATAAGAAATTAGCTCTTAAAAATATTATGATATCTATTTATTTATAGATTTTTATGCATAATTTAAATTATATATTTAAATAAATATAAATAAACAAAAAAATAAGAAACATAAAATTATGGACATTAATCAATAATATATTACAATAAATTGAATCGAAAAAGAGGAGAATAAAATGAATTTCTTTGCATTAACAGGACTATATCCTCGTAGGAATGCGCAAGATCCAAGAGCTTTCGTAAAACCGGTTCTCGTCGTAAACGTCATTTGACACATTTCCTGTGAAGCAATATACACGACTCAAATGCATATATACTTTAAATAATATTATTTTTAAATTTATTTT